TAATTTATATCTAATATCAAAAATGAAAAATTGTTGTTTTTGCATAGCTGACATATACAGAGTGTATTTTATAAAATGCCTGAATGGCATCAGCTGCCTTAAGCTATAGAGAAATTCCCATTTTAAAAAAAAATTTCGAAGTCATGTCAATTTTAAAAAGTATCTGAAAATGACTGGGAAGTTATAAGTGTGCTATAGAGTCAATGGAATATTCAGGAAATTTCTAAAATCCATATAGCTTCTTGAGTTATCATGGTGAATTTTCATGACGTGTTGCAATTTATTCTGAACCTAGCTCTTATGGGTGTTGTTTATATAGAGAAATTAAGGGATTTATGAAGGGAAATTAAGGTTATGAAATTAGGGGATTCTTTAGAATTTCGACGAAAAATTTGCATTAACCCTTGACGTTTGCATCAACTTGTGTGATGGTAGAATAAGACTTGCTCACATTTCTTGATTCCTTGGTAGTAAGTATGCACATTCACTGCCGTTTATTTTGAAACATATAGTAATCCACAGAAGGTCACAAGATTTTTCTTCAGTGTGAAGTTGCTCAAAAGGGAGGGAAACAACTCAACTCGACCTCCGCCTGAGCATTAAAAACCGAAAGCAAAACTGTAGCAGCAGAAAAGCAGCTCAACTCGAACACCACGTGCAGACTTTTATCGCAGAACCTACAAAGTTTTAGTGGCAAAGAGAAGGAGGCAATTTGACGAATTACAAAACTTCGCCAAGTATGCGAAGGTTCAATTGAAAAAAAGTGACTCTCCATGCAATGATCCCACGGACGAACCCCACCTCCCTTGTTCAACAATGAAAGATCAAGTGATTTCAGTGTTACTCTTTCCTATAGAAATAAAATGAAACAACCAGTCTCCGTATGGAGTTCGATTGGATGCATTGCAGAAATAACACAGGAGTGATCTTTGGTTCAATACTCACAGTGGACGTTGTCAGCAAAGGAATTTTGCCCAAATGGAAGCTGAGAAAATACCAGAAATTACAGGAGGTTATTATGCGTCTTGCTCATGTGGATAACCGGAAGAATCCTAAGGGAAGTGGCGATAATTTCATTTTAGTTTTTGTTTTACTTGCTACATAATAGAGACTTTAATTTCAATAGAAGTGTAAAATGTGACTCCTAATTTTAGGAAGTGCTTTTTTTGTGATTTATGATGAAAGCTTCAATGAGTAAAATTCCTGCATCAATTTAGCAATTTTTATCTGGAACATTTGTTAAAGATTATTGAATGATTAAATTAAGAGCAATATTGGTTTATTATTTTAAGGATTACTGAGTTTTTTTTATATAATATTTGAATAGCTTCAAAAACCAATAATTTAAAGAATTTTTTTGAATGCTTGGAGAAAATTGAATGCGAGTATTTCAGAGATTATTTTATTGATTGAACATTGGAATAAGAATAAGTAATGTTAAACATGACAACAATTTTTTTGTATGTTTTATGTGATCTGTTGCGAGCAGTAAATTAGTTGATATCTCATAGTAAATATGGGAAAACATATGAAAAATAGTATTTAAGTGTTTGCTAATTAGTATTTGAACGTTGAAAGTATATGATAACTAAGGTTTTCACGAATCCTTGAATCCGAATAATTTCTTTAAGTGAAGAAATAATTTTTTATATAATCATTGTGGAATTATAGAAACCTTTAACGAAATAAATGGATAAGACTGATGATTATGTAAAATTAAATAGAGAACTAATTGTGATAAAATAATATACTTATCGTATGTTTTGTTTTGCTTTACTGTATTATTTGAAATCGAAAGCGACACTTATTTCTGTAAAGTAAAATGATTGTTATTCTTTTAGGTCACATATATTGCAATATGGTTTATGTGTCCTTAGTTTATGATATATGTGTGATTTTGATTTCATTTTATTCATAAACATTGTGAGTATGTAGAATTTGTAATAATTGAGTATTTGATATAATGAATGTTTTATGGTCACAGTCGTCCTATATGTAGTGTAATTTCAAATAAAGGATTGTGAGTCATTTTATTCCCGCGATCTATTATATTGGAAGAAGGATGTGATATATATGACACCTGTCAGTGTGAGAAAATTTTTGTGCCCCCTCATTGTGTGGAAGAGAGGAGTTGCCAGTGTATTACGAGGTTATACAACCTGTACTTACATGTAAGAAGAGGAGCAGACAGTGGCTTATAATGATTGCACGAATGATGAATGATGAACTACTCGAATCCGAAAGAAGAAGAGAATTTATGGAATTTCCTTTACAAACAAAGGGATCTATTAATTTATGGAAGCCGATGCATGACAGGAATAAAGCGCAATACTGAGTTTCAAGATGAAATGAAAAAGATAGAAGAAATGAAAGTGAGAAAATACAAATATAAAAAGGAAATTCAAGTCCATTAGATTTTGAAAATTTTAAATAAACTTCACATAAGCGATACCTTAGAAAAGGAAGAAGACCGCGGAAGTAATATGAGAGAAATGGAAAAGAGGAGAATTTAAGGAAGTTGGCTGAATTTCAAAAGGATAATGAAGGTAAATTAGAATTGCAGATGAAAATACAATCTGAGAAAGGGAAAGCACGGCTGTCGGAGATTCAATGAGAAGAGGCACCGATGTCAAGTAGAGTTTGGAAAAGAACAAAAGCTTGAAGGAAGCAAAAGAAAATAATAGAAAAGGCGAGTAACAAAAATAGCAAGAAGTATTTAGCAGAACAAAAATTAACTGAGTTTCAACAATTAACTGATGGCCAACGAGAAATCTTTAAATAATATTACAGGGGAAAATATTTCTATTGGAGAAAAAGAATAATCGGAATGAGGAAGGAAAATTAAGTTAAGTGAAGACGATATTTAATATTTAAAAATTAATTCTGTTAGTGAAACAGTCTTGAATTCATATTGATTTAAAGCAATCCATAAAATGTGAAAAATGAAAAATCCAATAGATATGACAGAAGAAATGCTCAATTATTTTTCAAAGATGTTATTGATTTCTTTTTGAAAAAAATTAGTTTCCTTTATAAATGTGAATAAATTGCTAGTATTTGCAAAAGTATTTTTATGAAGAAAAGCGTTTTTTAGTAGATTTCGTCTAAAAACATTAAAAAAAGGTGAAAACTTGAAAAAACAATCTATTTTTTCTTCGAAACAGTAGCGATTGCGAGTTTTTATGCAAAAACATAAAAAAGGAGAAGAAAAGCAGTTTTTATGGAAAAACGTTAAAAAAAAAGTGAAAAATAAAAAAAACCTGGAAAAAAGTAAAAAAAAAAACGATAAAGGGACCACTCCGCACCATCCGGGAGGGTTCGGGAGCCAAGAGGGATCTCGGATATCGAAAATAAAAAAAAAAAGTAAAAAAATGTCAAAAAATCGGAAAATCGGGAAAAAAATTCCGAGTCCCGTCATTCCCGGGGTCCGAAACGCAGGGAGGAGCTTTTTTTTCCCGAAAAATAAAAATTTCCAAAAAAGTGAAAAAAAACCATCAAAGTCCCCGAAATGGGGTGCCCATCGATATGAAAATAAGCCTAAGTCCCGCAGAGGACGAAATTTTTTCGAAGTCCAAAGAGTGGCGAAAAAGTTTCAAAGTCCCGAAAATTTTCTAAGTCCTCACATCTTAAGTGCCTTCAAATCTTATGTGTATTCAAATCTTATGTGCAAGCGAAATTCTAAGTCCAAAGTTTTTTCAAAGTCCGAAATAATTTCTAAGTTCTCACACCTTATGTGCATTCAGATCTTATGTGCATTCAAATCTTATGTGCTTTCAAATCTCATGTGCCATCGGAATTTCCGAAATAATTTCTAAGTCCTTACATCTATTTGGACTTTGCCAAAAAAAGGTCGAAAATGAATCGGAAGTAGGCTTAGCGAGATGCCGTCCAAAGTGGAATGTCACCTTACGACGATGCAAGTTTACCACTCGACGCGGTAGGCTTAGCCGCCTGAAACATGCCGCAGTCACCGTCGAGGGAGGGGTTTGTCATTCCCCTTTCGCAACTCCATTTCCCTATATAGGGAGCACCTCTCTCTCGAGTGGTCCAGAACGCGATTTCGTGTTTTGTGATCTAATGTGGAGTGGAGGGTGTGCGTCGTGAGTGGGATCGCTCTGAACCCTTTTCAGGGTTTTTTTAATTTTATTTTGGCTTTTTTGAGCGATTTAGATGCACTTTGGTTCCAGGCAGGAGGGACGCGGAGATTCGTCTCCGGATCGGTCCCGGACCACTCGGTCGTCCGAAGGGGCTCTCGGACGGCGGCCTCAGGCGTTCCCCATCCAAGGGGAGGCGTGGGTCGGACCCTCAGGAGGCGGAGGATCGTCGGCGCTCTCCGTAACATGGGGGAGCGTCCGTCTTGGAAACGGATGGAAGGATTGGCTCCTGCGAAGACGTGGGTACCAGCTGAAGGATGCGGAGAAGTCGGGATTCCACGGGGTCCGTCCGGACCGAAGGAAGCATTGGCTCAGGCGAAGACGCGAGTGTATGCCAGGGGTCTGCGGAAGTTTCGGGTTTTATTTAGGCGACCCGAAGCTATTCCGAGTGAGCGGGAGCGGCCGGGGACGCCCACGGGGTCCGTCGGGTCCCCGTTCGTGGGGGCTCGCTTCTCTCTCCATCCAGCGGGTCGGCGTGGGTGCACGCCGTTAAAGGAACCCGTCTGTTGATGGTGCGGACTTGTCCGCGTCGGGTCCCCGTTCGCGGGAACTCTTTCCAACCCGTCTCTGCCCTGGCGGCCGCCGCCGCGATCAAAGGGTTGCGGTCGGACGCACCGTGCGTGTCGATGGATCGAGTCGTTTAGAAGGGGTCGGTCGGTCACCGACAGCTATCTCGATACCTTTTTAAAGACGTCCCCTTCGGGGGATGCCCTCAGTCGCACTGCGGAAAGTCTCGAAACGAGAAAGAAACACGGACCTCATTGGGAGAGGGAAGCGGTACCTCTTAAATTCCGACGAGTAAGACGAGGACCTCGTGGAAGGCTTAGCAGGAAAAGGAGCGAAGATAACTGGTTGATCCTGCCAGTAGTGATATGCTTGTCTCAAAGATTAAGCCATGCACGTGTAAGTACAAGTGATACAAGAAAGCGAAACCGCAAATGGCTCATTAAATCAGTTACGGTCCTCTTGGCTGTTGAGACTACTTGGATAACTGTGGTAATCCTAGAGCTAATACATGCACTGGAGCTCCGATCCCGCGAGGGAGACGAGCGCTTTTATTAGACCAAGACCAGCCCGCGTTCGCGCGGTAGCGACTGGTGACTCTGTATAACCTAGGGCGGATTGCACGGGCTCGTCCCGGCGACGCGTCTTTCGAGTGTCTGCCTTTTCAACTGTCGATGGTAGGTCATGCGCCTACCATGGTCGTCCCGGGTGACGGGGAATCAGGGTTCGATTCCGGAGAGGGAGCCTGAGAAACGGCTACCACATCCAAGGAAGACAGTAGGCACGCAAGTTACCCACTCCCGTCCCAGGGAGATAGTGACGAAAAATAACGATACGGGACTCTTTCGAGACCCCGTCATCGGAATGATAGTAAGGTAAAGAGTGTTCAAAAGGAACAATTGGAGTTCAAGTCTGGTGCCAGCAGCTGCAATAGCTCCAGCTCCGATAGCGTAAGCTAAATTTGTTGCGGATGAAAAGCTCGTACAACGGATCTCAGCCTGGGGCGCGTCAGCGCCCCTTCTGGTCTCGCGGGCTCTGGCCGTTTTCCGAACCGCGATCGTAACCTGTCGTGGCGCGGGGTCCGGTCAGTTTACCTTGAAGAAACTGAAGTGCTCAAAGCAGGCCTGTCGCCCGCACAAGGATGCATGGAATAATGCAAGAGGACCTCGGTTCTATTGTGTTGGTTTTCGGAACCGGAGGTAATGATCGATAGGAATAGACGGGGGCATTCGTACTGAGACCCTAGAGGTGAAATTCTCTCAGAGGTCACGAAAGTCAGAGGTTCGAAGGCGATCAGATACCGCCGTAGTTCTGACCGTAAACTTTGCCAGCCAGCGATCCGGTGCTGTATGAGAAACGACACGCCGTATGGTTGTGAAACTTAAAGGAATTGACGAAAGGGTATTATCAGGGATGGATTCTGCGGCTCAATTTGATTCAACACGGGAAAACTCACCCGCTCCTGACACTCCGTTTTTAGTTCGTGGGCATGACCTGTCTGGTTTATTCCGATAACGAGCGAGACTTGCCAGCTAAATAGCTGTTCCGTGATGTTTCACGGAAAGAATCTTCGAGGAACAAGCCATTTCGAGCCGCACGAAAAAGAGCAAAAACAGGTCAGTGATGCCCTTAGATGTCCGGGGCCGCAAGCGCAATACAATGAAGGCGACAGCGTGTGCTTTTTTCCCTTGTCGAGAGGTCCGGCCAACCCGATGAAATGCCTTCGTGCTGGGGATAGGGACTGTAACTGGCCCCTTGAACGAGGAATCTCCAGTAGGCTCGAGTCATTAACTCGTGCCGACAGTACCAACACTTTGTACACGCTGCCCGTCGTTAATACCGATTGAATGGTTCTGTGAGGTTTGCGGACCTGCGCTTCCGTTCCTTAATGGACACGAGGTGTCAGAAAGATGATCGAACTCTATCACTTAGAGGAATTACAAGTTGTAATAAGGTTTCCGTAGGTGAACCTGCGGAAGGATCATTGCTTTAATATGCTTGTCACAAACCGGGGCTTGGTGTCTGCCCCGTCGAGCTTCTCCCAGACGAGGTTCTCGGTGCGTTTATGTGGTTTTTAAATGGGAGCGCACGATCGAATGGAATTTTTGCTGGACTCGATCGAACGGGACCGAGTCGAGGGTGTGTTCGGAAAGTCCCCACGTTGAGCGGAGCTTGCTCCACGAGCGGAGATGTTGGTTGTTCCGCCCCAGACGAAGCGACGACCAAATGGTGATGCAATGAAACGAGACTCGGGACGGGGTGGCTTCTTCAGGGCCCGTGGCTCGGAGACCTGATAAGTCTCTCTCGTAGAGGAGGCTGCGGCGGCCGATCTCGATAGATCGGGTGCGGGTTTGGCGTTTTGAAAGGCGGAAATTATTAGAGTTATTGAATCTTGAGGAGGTTCGGACTCGGGTGGGCGAGGCGTCGGTGATCTTACTGCGGGGGCAGGGGTCGTCCGGTGCTTGGCTCGTTTGGTTCGTCTCTTCAAAGAGTTGTGGATTCTGCCTTTCTTTCGTCTTCCTGCCCGGGTGCGCCGTGGCCGACTCGAGGTAAGGTCTTTATTAAAATTGACGATGCCACCGACCTCAGAGAGTGATGAGAGAGTTCAAAATTTTCAAATGGGCGGTTGGAGGTGTCGAGAAGCGACGACGCATTTATATTTGGAATATTGTTATTTGGAGGTTGTCTGTTGACCGACCGGAAGAAGTGGAAATGGAGCCTTCGGGCGGGACAGCCGGGAGCGGTGGTGGTGCTCTGGACCAGCGGAGAGGAAGTCGGGGAGTTATGGCCGTGCAGTGCGAGGGGCCTGCGTGTCCGGGTTCGGACAGGTTCTTGGGATTCGGGAGTGCGAGGTGTCGGTGATCCTTTGAGGGAAAGTTGAAAAGAACTTTGAAGAGAGAGTTCAATAGAACGTGAAACTGTTTAGAGGGAAACAGGTGGGCCCTCGAAGTCTAGTGTCTGGGGCGTTCAGCCCCGGTGTCGTCCGCTTCCGCCGAAGCGGGTGAAGTAGCGCCCCTCACGTGGGGGCGTCGTCCTTTCGCCCAGGAGGTGGTTCGGCCCGGGTGCACTCGTCCCCTTCCAGAGGACGCCGCACCCGATTCGTATTTTGTGGGCCGTGAGGGCGGATACTTTTATGTGGACTCCGAATGAGGATCTCTTCCGCCCGGGTCCGCAGCGGACGGTGGCTTCCGAATCGTCCCTCCTATTTGGTGGTGCAGGTGGGTTCTTGAGTAGCCGTGCGCACGCTCCCTGAGCGTGGCCGGTGACTCGCCTCTCCCGCGCCGCTTTGTGATTTATTTGGAGGCCGACGGTGTTGCGGCGCATTAGGTCGGTGCCCCACCCGACCCATCTTGAAACACGGACCAAGGAGTCTAACATGTGTGCGAGTCACTGGGTCTCGAAGAAACCCACGGGCGCAAAGAACTTTATTATTGTCGGGATCCCCCGCATATAAAAGAGGGGCTCACCGATGGCCTGCCACTGTCTTACGACAAGAGGCAGAGCCTGAGCACACACGTTGGAAACCGAAAGATGGTGAACTATGCCTAGATAGGACGAAGACAGGGGAAACTCTGTTGGAAGTCCGAAGCGGTTCTGACGTGCAAATCGATCGCCTGATCCGCGTATAGGGGCGAAAGACTAATTAAGCATCTAGTAGCTGGTTCCCTCAGGATAGCTGGCGCTCGATCAAAATTGAGTCACGATCGGTAAAGCTAATGATTAGAGGCCTTGGGGCCGAAACGACCTCAACCTATTCTCATACTTTCAATGGTAGTAGAGTCCTTTCTCGACTTGAAGGTTGGACGGTGGATGAGAGTGCCTAGTGGGCCACTTTTGGTAACAGAACTGGCGCTGTGGGATAAACCAAATGCCGGGTTAAGGCACCCGATGCAGAGACGCTCATAAAAGGTGTTGGTTGCTCTAGACAGCAGGACGGTGGCCATAGAAGTCGGCATTCGCTAAGGAGTTAGTAACAACTCACCTGCTAAAGCAACTAGCCCTGAAAATGGATGGAGCTCCAGCGTCGAGCCCATACCCGGCTGGTTCTCTAAGTTATTCTATTTATTAGAGAACCGAGTAGGAGGGTCGCAGCGGTGGCGTGGCAGGGCGTGGTGCGAGCCTGTATGGAGCCTCCGCCGGTGCAGATCTTGGTGGTAGTAGCAAATACTCAATTGAGGACTGAAGTTGGAGAAGGGTTCCATGTCAACAGCATTTTTACATGGGTGAGTCGGTTCTTAGCCAACGGAGTGATCCGTGCTAAGCGAGACTTTACGAGTCACGCTATGGACGAAAGGTGATCGGGTTAAGATTCCCGAACCCGGACGCGAAATAAATGAGACCTCGGTCTCTGGAGCGGTAACGCAAACGATGCGCGCTTGGATTTCGCTAACGCTAATGTAAGTGACGAGGATGCTCTGCCCTCGAGGCAGGTCACCTCAGTGAACTCGAGTCCAGATATTCTGGGGACCTGTACGCCATCCTTCTTACAAGGGAAGGTAGGTCTTCTGAGGCTCAGCGCCCGAAAAGCTGAGAACGAGAAGAAAGAAAAGAACTAGGAAACTGGTTCTAGAAAACAGCCCTCAAAAGTTCATAGCGTCCATGTTCCGCGTGGACAAGATCCTTGAGGAAATCGAGCTCAAGGAAGGGCAGAAGGTTCGTATCAAACAGTTGTTGCTTGAGGCCGAGGGGATCCTCTGGCAGTCGGAGTGCGAACTCCAACAACTCCGAACCAGGGTTCCAACTCGGACTGAAAAGTGCGAGAGAGGAATCCAAACAGATGTTGATCCTGCCTGCGAAGGCAGATCCGCGGAAGTCGTTACTGTTCACGAGAGCAGACAGAGGTTTAAGCTGTTCGCGAGAACAAAAAAAAAGGCAATAAGACGGCTTCTCAACCGGCTGCCAACTCTGTCAAGTCCAACGCTGCAATGGCGGCTAAAAAGCCACCACCAGCACCCGCAAAGGGGAAGGACAGCGATAAAGTCAAACAAAGCAGACAGTCTGGGTAGTACCCAAGGCTGAGCACGACTCTGCGGCGATGCTCTTAAAACCTTGCGTCGCACGATCAAAACGGAAGAGATAGGAGTTAAGGTTCTCCTATTTCACCCCATAGAGAAACGGGGAGTCGTTATCGAGGTGCCTTCGGCAGATATGGCAAAGCGGGTAATAACCGCAATTAACACTAATGCCGTCCTCCGGGACATCTGCGAGGCATCTTGAAAAAAGGAAAAACTCCCGAGAATTTTCCTTTATGACGCACCGGGAACTGAAAACCCGTAGAGGCAGGCGAAGTTCATTGAGAAACTTCGTCGCTCCTACGATCTTCCTGCTGGTACCATCAGAGTAGCAGGAAGAAAAAGCCTCAAAGACGGTACCGTCCATTGGGTTGTGGACGCCGAACCTGAAATTCAGAAGGCCATCCTCGAGAAAGGACGACTCTTTCATGGGTTTCAATTCCATCCAGTCAGGCCTCACCACCCGCCACAAAGGTGCTTCAAGTGCAACAAATATGGGCACTTGGCAGTAAAGTGCAAATACAAGGCCCCACCACCCAATGGGGAGCCAAAAAAAGACCAGACTGGCAATAAGTAGGGCCAAGAAGCCTCGCGTAGGGCAAAAGCTGGCTTGATCCTGATTTTCAGTACGCTTACGGACCGCGAAAGCGGGGCCTGTCGATCCTTTTGAGTTTACGAGTTTTAAGCAAGAGGTGTCAGAAAAGTTATCACAGGGTTAAGTGGTTTGTGGCGGCCAAGCGTTCATAGCGATGTAATTTTTTGATGTCCGCTCTTCCTATCATTGCGAAGCAGAATTCGCAAAGCTTTGAATTGTTCACCCATTAACAGGGAATTTGAGCTGGATTTAGACCGTCGTGAGACATTAGTTTTACCCTTCTGATGGATGGCTTTTTCGATAGCAATCGAGCTTAGTACGAGAGGAACCGCAGGTTCGGAAATTTGGTATGTGCGCCTGGCCGGAATGCCACCGGTGCTAGGCTACCGTCCGCTGGTTAACGGCTGAACGCCTCTAAGCCGGAAGCCCGCCTAACCGGGGGCAGAGATAGCATGTGCCGCCAGCCTTCGCTTGGCATATTTAGGCCCCTAATCTTAGGGGTCGAAGAAGCCTTTTCGGTGATCTGAGCAGTTTCTGGGGTTGACCCGACTGTGTCTCCCCTTTGACCTGAGCCTCCTAGTTCGAAGGAGGTGTGATGCGGTGGTGCCTCGTCCCTCGATCGGTCGGTTCGTCCTCTGGGTTCTCTTAACGGAGGGCTTACAGGGGAGGCCGGAACCCCTCCCTCCTTTTTTTTAAAGTTTTTTCAAATCCTTTGTTTGGATTGAGATCCTATGTTTCGAAGGGTCCCCGAGGTTAGGTTTGGACTTCGAACCAATTGCCATCTCTTCTTAAAATTTTTCTGATGACTAAGTCCCAGGAGGCGTGTGGAGGCACTCACGCGCCCGCTGCGTGGCTTCGAAATTGGTGTTTTCTTCCCCCGTATCCGCGATTCTGGCGATTCCCCGAGTCCGAGACTTTAAATTTTGTTAGTTTTTTTAAATCCTATGTTCAGATTCTTTGTTCAGATCCTATGTTCAGATCCTATGTTTTGACCAGAGTCCCCGAGGTTAGATTTGGACTTTGAAAAAAATGGGATAAAAAAAATTGTTTAGGATCCCTATGAATCAGAGGTGACGTTTGGGACTTTGAAAAAAATCCCCCGCTTGCTAGTTGTTGGACTTTGAGAAAAAAAAAGAAAAGAAAAGATTCCGGAGGGGTACTCGACGCGTCCGGAGTTGGAGTGGAAATAATTCTCAGAAGTAGAGCGAGTCCCGAGGTTAGGTTTGGACTTTGAAAAAAAATGGGATAAAAAAGTTGTTCACACTTTAAAAACTTGGCCTTTTTCTGACTTTGTAAAAAGAAGATTCCGGAGGGCTACTAATTGAAATGAAACCTTTTTCAATAATAATAATAATAAATATCTCATATGTGAATCTAAAGAAATTAAAAAAAAAAAAAACTATTCCATTCTTAAAAGAGACACTCCTACCTCTTGGGGATAAAGAATGAGGACTCCAGGAATAGAAACAATGAAATAAATTTTAAAATGAAGATGATAATAATAATAAGATGAATAAGAATCGTCGGTTCCAATCTTTGGGACCGGCGGCTCTTTTTTTTTATGCACCTGAGATCGGGCCTCGTGCGGAATCTTTTTCAATAATAATAATAAATGTGTGAATTTAAAAAAAAAGGTGACAACAGAAATGTGTTTAGAATCCCTATCAGACTTTGAAAACTTGGCCTTATGTTTCAGACTTGGAAAAAAGAAAAGAAGATTCCGGAGGGCTACTCGACGCGTCCGGAGTTAGAGTGGAAATAATTCTCAGACGTAGAGGCAGGTGAAATCTTAGTCAACTTCAATTGAAATGACGCTGAATTAAAACGTCATCTCCTTTTTCAATAATATCAAATATCTCAGGTGCTAGATCTAAAGTTAAAAAGATGTTCCATTCTTAAAAGAGACACTCCTATCTCTTGGGGTAAAAACATGCATACAAGAACGCTATAAAGAATGAGGACTCCAGGAATAGAAACAAAGAATTAAATTTTAAAATGAAGATGAATAAGAGAAGGTTAGGTTTGGCCTTTTTCAGACTTTGTATAAAGAAGATTCCGGAGGGCTACTCGATGCGTCCGAAATAATTCTCAGACGTAGAGCGAGTCCCGAACCGGGGTCGATTTCAATTGAAATGGAACCTTTGAATTAAGGGGACCTTTCGAAATCAGAAGTAGAACATTTTGACAAACTTTTTTCGATTCTTCATAAATCATCAATTTTTGCTCATTTCAAAAATTGAAACTTTGCCGGTTTGTGTAATAAAGTGTATAAGTTTTGCTATTCAATCAATCTATACAACATGAAATCTGCGTACAAAAATTTAAAAAATCAATTGGTTGACCTTACGTTACCCACAAGATAACATTTCAAAGTCTTGTACTAAATGAAGGCTAAATAATAACCTCAAATTTTAAAAAAAGTGATCTAGAACATTTAACTTTTCGGCGGTTCCTTTCGATTTCGATTGGACTGAAAGCCGAAGAAGGCTCCTTCGGGAGTGTTCCTACGGAGTTTCGAAGAAATCGGATGACGTTGACTCACTTTCGTGAAACTTTGAAAATTGGGAATCCGGGAAAAGCTAAAGGACGTTCGTTCCGTTTCTGAGAGAGAAAAAAAAAAAAAAAAACGAATCGAAACCCCTTTTCGAGTAAAAAACTGCCCGGAATTACCGAGTAGATACCTCTGTCGATGATAATTTCGATTTATAGAGAAATGTGACGGGAAATATTCAAAAAAAATTCAACGGGAGGAAATTTTTTTTTTTTCAATCTTCAGAAATAAAGTACTTTTTGGGGACCGAAATTGGTAACTTCTCCCTGTCTCCAAAAACCATGATATATTCTCGTAGAGCTAATGGAAGCGTAACAACCTGCATGATTTGAAAGAATTTCGAAAGTAATTAGTTAGTTAATTTCGAGACGAAAGTCGAAATTTTGATTTTTTAAATTAAAAAAAAGAGCTCACTCTGCCCATGGAAAAAAAGGGGTTTCGAGGCTCTGCTCCTCGAAATTCCTTCCTCCATTAGAAAGAGGATCACGAGACGGAGTGAAATACCCAGTTTCGAACGGATCTATATTTAGTTTGTCGAATTCGCACCGGAAATGGCTTCGAGCTCTGTAATGGAAAAAAGTGAAATGGCACTCCCTCTATGAAAACGCTCTTAGAAACACATTTCGTGAACAAAAACTGCATTGATTCGTGGCAGGAATGTATCGAAGAGTCTGAATACTTATTCGCATTCAAATCCGGATTTATTGTCGTTTTTTATTCCACTCTCGAATTTCTAATTGAAACGGACATAAACTCGAATTTCCGGTAGTAGAAAGATTTTAATTAAAATTTTTACCTCTAGAATAGCTTTTATTAATGGATAACATAATTTTCTGAAAGTTCCGTGGGAAAATGACGGTATTTTCTGCACCGCACCTCCCGACTGCCACACCGTTTCAACATGGAGGTGGCAACCGGGCCCTTTTCCGTAGCAGGAACTCTCCAACACTTTTCGCGACGCCGAACACCCGTTTCCTGTTCGTTTCCCTGTGGTATATTGTAAAAGAGAGCCAGCCTGCAATTTTCTTTTTTATTTTTTTTTTCAAATTTCAGAAAACCGGTACTTTTTGGAGACCCAAATTGGTAATTTCGACCTCCCTCCGAAAACCATGATATATTCAGGTAGAGCCCCTAGAAACGTAACTAATTGCCGGATTTGAAAGAAATCGGTCTGTATTTGGTCAGTTAATTGACGGGTGAAAGTAGAAAATT